TACAATGAAAAGATGTCTGTCTATGCAGAACAGAGTCCTCACCAGATACTGAGTCTGCCAGTGCCTTGATCTTGGACTTCCCAGTCTCTAGAACTGTGAGAAATAAATTTATGTTGTTTATATGCTCCTCAGACTTAGGTATTTTTGTTATAGCAGCCTAAATGGATGAAGAGAATAAGAGAGCTGCTAGCCTCCACCTTTCAAAGCTCTTCTGGACATTCGAGACAATTTGACCTTATTACATCAGGTGCAATTCTAGACCGTCTTTATTGGTCAGCTTAGCCCACAACCATGAGTGGCAGACTTTTATCTGTGCTAAGGAGAGAATCTCCTAATATACCTGGGCTTTTGGCCTTCAGATTCTAAGATCATGCTCCTATTCATGCTGCTTTCCATCTGGTCTGACAGCAGGCGACATAAGTGGGTCTGCTAGGACAGGCAGGTACCGTCCTCAATTTTTCTCTATAGGTAATAATGTTCTGATGTGAAAAACTGCAGTTCTAGACTTAAGCACTCCACTTTCTGCATAAGCTTAGCTGAAACTATTAATACAAATTTACAGTGATGGCAATTGTAGTGTTAAGTATTCTGTTCACTCCTCTACATTTTATGGCCCACTTGCAAGGTGAGACTGTGTGAGCTGAAATGAATTTTGTCTTCTGATTAGAGGCAATAAAAATTCCTTGCACATTTCTCTAGTTTTTCTCTTCCCTTGCCATTGCAACTGAGCATAATGGAGCACCAAATATGAGAACCTTTGTTTACTGAATATCTGAGTGACAGCACAGTAAAGCTACATGATGGCTCATGTGGGACATTTAGTGTAAGAAAAAAACTTCTGTGAAGTCATTGAAATTCATGGATTTTTTGTTAGTACGGCACAAATTAGCCTATCTTGACTAGTATAGTTACACAGCGCTTTTGTATGCAACATGTGTGTGTTTCATTGGAGGCACTATTAGGAGAAATTGTGCAAATCCTCACAAACATGAGACTGGAACAAGCTTTTAGAGGACAGTAAGATTATAGGATAGGTTGAGAAAGCCATGAAGGCATATTGAGCAGGGAACTCTAGCAAAGGAGTGGGAAGAGAAGTGTGTATGGTACAGTAAAGCTGGCTTGAAGAGGACAAGGTGTTTAAGTCATAGAGCTATACAAGATGAACTTTCACGGATGTGGAGAATCCAGAGTGAGATAATAGCTTGGGAGTTCACATGCTGTTTTTAAGGAAGATGAGGAGCAAAAGGGGCCAGATGGAAGCAGTAGGCAATAGCTTAGGAAGATGATGTTGGTGATGTTGCTCACAATACCCAGATAAGATGATATTTCACCTGATTAGTTAGTATCAGAGAAAGGTTGGCATGTGCTGGATAATTTGTAACTATAATAATTGATTTATTGGAGCATTCAGTTATAAAGAATAAGAGGAAGAGATAGAGAGGAAACCAAAAAATTTTTTTAAAAAAGGAGTTAATGAAGAATGGCCATGCCTCTACAGAAATAGAAGGTGAAGGAGAACTAACTAGAGTGAAGATAACTCACTTATGATTGAATACATTTTGTTTACAATAAGGGCAAGCTCTCTGGACAGTTGTATATAAGGAAATAAAACAATTAGAAGTAAGAACAGGAGTTACATATTTGGGATTAATGCTAGGTGATGATAATTTGCCTTTAGATTATAATCATAGAGAGAGAGAATTATCTATCTGTACAAAGATGTGCAAAGTGCTAATGAGTGAGACTTGTTCATGGCAGAAAAAGGAAAACAAGTTCTTGAAGAACTGCATCAAGTATCTTTTGTAAACAGCATGTTGAGCTCATTACCATATGCATGGTGCCTTTTTTTGTTGTTGTTGTTACAAGTGTGATATGGTTAAGCTTGTGTCCCCACCCAAATCTCATCTTGAGTTATAATCCCCAGGTATTAAGGAGGGAACCTGGTGAGAGGCGACTGGATCATGGGGGCAGTTTTCCCCATGTTGTTCTCATGATGCTGACTGAGTTCTCGTGAGATATGATGGTTTTATAAGCTTCTGGCACTTCCCCTGCTTGCTCTTCTCTCTCCTGCTGCCATTGGAAGAAGGTCCCTTCTTCCCCTTCACCTTCCACCATGATTGTAAGTTTCCTGAGACCTCCCTAGCCATGCAGAACTCTGAGTCAATTAAACCTCCTTTGTTTATAAATTACCCAGTCTGGGGTAGTATCTTTATAGCATGTGAAAACAGACTAATATAAAGTGCCTATGAAACCACGTTTATGTTTTTACAACTTTTATTCCATTTGACTCTATCCTAGGAGAATATATGCAGCAATAGTCCACTCATTCTCTGGTTTCTTGTACAACTTTCCATTATTTTTGTCTATATTTATTCGGAGAAGATTGTCCAAAAAAAGGTTGCATATTCTTCTTGGGCTGCAATGACAATCTTAGCTCATTCTTAAATGTTATAAAACCAATTATCTCAGGCTGGATCATGCATCAATATGCATCAGTGTTATCCCACAAAATGAAGAGCTTTACGAACATCTATATTGTTTTGAAATGTCCATGAGAGTTTACAGCTCGCTTGAGTCAACAGAAGCTTTACATGAATCTGTAAAGTTTGTTTCCTCTACTGTAATACTTTTTTTTTGTAATTTAGAGTTGGCATTTTGGAGAGACCTCAAACTCTCTAGGTATTAAGATGTTTCTCATGCTTATAAGGAGAATGCCTTAAAATATATTCTCTGGTCTTTTCTATTATTTGGGTCTGTAGAAAAGATACTGCATACATTGCTTCTGAACATATTTTATATGTGTTCAATTAGTCAATAAACATGTATTGGATGATTTCATGTGCTAGGTGTCCTACTAAGTGTGGAGAATACAAAGATGAAGCAGGCACAGTTTCCAAAATCAAATAACAGCATCTGCCTTCTAGAAAGAAAGGCAAACAAAGGAAAATTAGAGTATAAAGTGATAAATATTGTGTTAGAGATAGGCACAGAGGAACTAGCACAGCAATGCAAAGGAGAAGTAGATTTCTTAGACCTGGATTTGGGAAAGTCGGAGCTTGTCAGGTGAAATGGGGGCAGTGAGCAGGAAGGGCATTCCAGCCAGAGAAGCGGCCAGTGCCCAGGCCAGATGAGAGAGCTGTAAGTAGCTCAATATGCTTGTAGCACAGAGTGGTGAAAAATGAAGCCGGAGAGATAAGCAAGTGCCAAATCATGACAGACCTTGCTTCTTCAATTGTTTGTTTAGTTACAGCTCACTCTGTTCCAGAAGAGTTTTTAAGTGCCTTGAAGGGCCGTGAATACCATACTAAGACATTTGGAGCCCTTCCTAAAATGTTGGCAAGCCCCAGGAAGAAAGCAACATGATCAGATTTGCATTTTAGAAGGATAATTCTATCTTCTTAGAGGAGAAGGAATTGTAAGGAACAAAGACAGAAGCAGAGAGGCCATTTAGGAAATTGCTGCAGTCGGTCAGATGAGAAATGCACCATGAGGGGCTAAATTAAAGCAGTGGCTTTGGGGATGGAAAGAAAGAAGAGATATAGAATAAGAACAATGAACATGGCTTGCTAATAAATATTTTCTCAATGAATGAATTGTGACTAATTAGATGTATGGGGTGAGAACAAGAGGTAATTCAAAAATGAATTTCAGGTTTAGACTTGGGAAATAAGGTGGGTGACAAGAAAACTCATTGCTTGGATACTGAATGCATTCCTTCTGGGTTCTTTGTATGCCTGGGAACTGTAATTGTTGTGTGTGGATTAATCTTAACTGTGTGGCAAATGCCCTAAGCATAAGTACTGTCTTCCTTTTTTCGTATTATTTTTCTAGCACTGAGAATGTTAGAGTTACGTTCACTGAACTGACTATAATTCAATGAACCTGGCTCAGGTCGTTATCTATTTAAGAATGAGTGACAGGTCTTAACTCTGAATTCATTAGTATTCTTTGGTTGTGTGCAAAAGAAACGGATCCTGACTAACATGAACCAAAGAAAACTGTGGTGAGTTATTGGGGATTCTCAGACTTGATATATAGTCTGGAGAAGTAGGCTTGGAAATAGGCAAGCAGAAAAGTACATGCAGCAAACTGATCAAGAACCACAGAAAGTCTCCTGTAACATGAAGAATCCAGTCAGGAAGCCACTGTGGAAAAGGAGAAACCACAACTTTCAGTCTCTTTGTCCCTCTGTTCAAGAATCAAATTCCAGAGAGCTCTGAATTATTGCCTATCTTGAGGAACATTTTCACTGCCTAGCCTACAAGAGGTCTGGGCCCATAATTATAGTCCTGACAGAAAGGAAGGAGGTAATTCCTCAAATATTTAGAAATCATGGTGCACTTAGGAAGAGAAAAAGGATGCTAGCCAGTCAAATAATTACAAATGTCTACTTCCAGCTGATTCTAGCTTTTATTATTTTCTGTTTAGAAAGATTCTTAAAAACAAAATTGAAGCCTTATGAAGAATGGGTATGAGATTTATTTTTTGACTAAAAAGAACTTGGAACTTTTTCAACTAAGCTACTTTTTTTGACAAAAAATTCTATTCTGTAGCTTCTAGAAAGTAAAATGAATATTTTTTTAAAGAGTAGGACATAGGCACTGAACTAATGAAATATAATAGAACATTTTATACTTGGAAGTAAATATTATTTAGGTTCTGAAGGAAAAAAAATTGAATAGGTGGGGTAAGAGGAAGAAAATATATGAGTAAAAGGAGGAACACACACAGAAGAAAAATCCAGCATTATTTGGATAAGCTTCTGAACAACATTCAAACTAAATCCAATTCTTTAGCATCCGGAGGGAACACTCGCCACTAATTACAGGACTAAGATATACAAGAAGCCACTTCAGGACCATGGGGCCCAAATCAGCCATCCGATTGTAGTTTTTAAGATGTGGCTGTGGTTGTTTGTTTGGTGGTAGGAGAAAGTTTAGATTTGCTTTCACTGGCTTTGGTAGATGTTGATATTTCTTCCATCTCTAATCTCATTCCAGAGCTAAGGAGATACCTGTGCCAACTCTGGCTTTGTTTGCTCTGCCAGACAATCCTGATGCTGCAAAGTCAAATCATTGTGAAGGATGTTTATGCAAATGTGGGAAACAGGACTATAATCCTGCTTGAAGTTTGCTTAGATTCCTGGGAAGGCTCCCTATTCCAACCCTTTTTGAGAAAGTAAGTAAAAGAACTGCTTTTATGATTGATTGTAAAAAACTATGGAAGGGTTTAAGTTGGTCTCTGTTTGAAACCACAATTTTGGTGATATTTCTATTTTCTTTCATTTCTAATTTTTTTTCCTAGATAACAATCTCTCTCTCTCTCTCTCTCTCTCTGTCTGTCTCTGGGTGTGTGTGTGTGTGTGTGTGTGTTCAATGAAGAGCTCAACCTTGAGAAAGTCCACATTTCTGCGTAGGACAAGATAGAGATGAGACATTAGACATAGTGGGTGAAAAGTACTTTTTGAAAACTGAATGAGTATTTTCTATGAACAATCTGATTCTGTTATTACAAATATTAGACATGTTATAGGATGACTTTATAAACCTATACAGTTGGTGTTTACAGCTTACCTTAGAATTTATCAGTTTTTCTTTTCCCAAGCTAGACAGATATCCTAGAAAATAAAATAATGATTATAGCGCTTTTACTTCATTTATTACGGGAAGGGGTAATTCCTCAAATTGGAACTAAAATTGGAAATCAGATAGTGGAGCTGCTTAAGGAGTAACTAAACTATTTGAATTTGTCACACAGAATAAAGATCTGACACATTCCTTTAGCTTCAGAAATGTTTTTCTGTCCTTACTGCTAGAAGAATTGATACACTGTCGGGAATATTGAACACATTAAATATTGGCTTTTGAGTTAGGCAAGACAATTTCTTCAATTCTTTCCAAAAATGAGTTTCTATGTTATCATTGTGGACAGGGATATAGCCAAGGATGTGAGACAAACTGCCTGGGCTTGCATCCTAGCTCTCACCTATGGCATCAGCTGCCATTCATAAATTCAAAAAATGCAAAGAAAAGTGGTCTTTGCAGAGCTATAGCTATATATACTAGTTGATAAAGAAAAACCTGGAAATTTTTTTTTATTAATTACTCTTTCATTTGATGGTTCTAAAGAGAGTTATAAGAGTGCGAGTGCATATGTGTGTGCTTACATATCTATGTATACATATAAGTGCATATATATATGTGTAAGTGGAAATATTTATTTACTGTATTTTATGTATGTATCTTGTGTGTGTGTGTGTGTGTGTGTGTGTGTGTGTGTGAGACAGAGTCTCACTCTGCTGCCCCAGCTGGAGTGCAGTGGTGCAATCATGAGTCACAGCAGCCCTGACATCCCCAGGCTCAGGTCATCCTCCCAAGTAGCCTCAGCCTCCCAAGTAGCTGAGATTGCAGATGTGTGCCACCAGACCTGGCTAATTTTTGTATTTTTTAAAAATAAAGATGACACTTGTAATGAATTGAGTGAATAGTCATAATATTATCTAGCTATCCTGAGAGGAAAATCTCAGTTGAGTATCATAATGTTGCTACTCCAACCCATTTCACATGGAATACAGTTATAGCAGGTTTAGACCACTTTGTTTTAACTCCTTTGCCTAGCGTTGTCACTTTTTGTAGTAGAGTTGAGGTGATTAAGTAGGTAGAACCCAACAGAACCTAAGACTGACCCTTATTTATGATGGAGGTGAGTGTTGAGATGCTGCCCCGTAACTGCCATCAAGACTAACTGCTGAGATGGAATATGGAATGGCATGCTGGTGATGAATGCTTAGTAATTCCATTTTTAGAAAGATTTGTTTTAGCATTTCCTTAGTCATCTCTACCTTCTTTCTAGCCTGTCATTTGTTCAAGATGATGGAGGGTATGTGATAACTTGGAGAAATTGTTTGAAATGAATTAATCAGACCACTATTGGCAGTAATATTGTGTGACTCTTTGTGTGTTTTTTAGATTATTTCAGGAGATGTTTGAAATGAAACTTCCTGGCCCTGAAGCCATTTTGAATTACCTACCAAATTAAGAAACGGTATTCCCTGAGAAATGGACATAAAATCCCACCGCATTCCTGATTATATTTTCTGATAAATTTTCGTGGAAAGTAGGTGTCCTTGGATTTTATAACAGATGAATAAATTCCCAACTACAAAATGTCATTTCCAGCTTTACTCCAGTTTCCAATACGATGACTGTGATGATTAATACTGACTGTCAACTTGATTGGATTGAAGTGTAAAGTATTGTTTCTGGGTGTGTCTGTGAGGGTGTTGCCAAAGGAGATTGACATTTGAGTCAGTGGACTTGGTGAGGCAGATACACCCTCCATCTGGGTGGGCACCATCGAATCAGCTGCCAGCGTGGCTGAATAAAGCAGGCAAGAGAAGACAGAAGAGAAGACTTGCTGAGTCTTCAGCCTTCATCTTTCTCTCAAGCTGATGCTTCCTGCCTTCGAACATGGGACTCCAACTTCTTCAGCTTTTGGACTCTTGGATTTATACCAGTGGTTTGCTAGGGGCTCTTGAGCCTTTTGCCATAGACTGAAGGCTGCACTGTCGGCTTCCCTACTTTGAGTTTCTGGGACTCAGACAGATTCACCACTGGCTTCCTTGGTCCCCAACTTGCAGACAACCTATTGTGGGACTTTACCTTGTGATCGTGTGAGTCATTTTTCTTTAATAAATGCCCTTTCATGTATACATATATTCTATTAGTTCTGTCCCTCTAGAGAACCCTAATGAAATGACCTTGTATGATTTTTATTATTTCAGGGAAAGAAGAGGGAGCAGAAAAAGGAATTGTGGTAAGTAACCACGAGAAAGTTTTAAAATCATACCTTCTTTTTAGCATTTACAGTTCCTGTGTTGCTGTGTCCTGATTTAGGGAGGAAAATACCAGTGATACTACTTGGGGTCTGAGAGGTTTACAGTGGATTTTTCACATATATACATATATATGTGTGTGTGTGTATATATCTGAGTGATATATATCTGATATATAGATAGATAGATAGATAGATAGATAGATAGATAGATAGATAGATAGAATCTAGAAGATTTAGAAGAATCTCTAAATTCTTCTCATGGGTTCATCATCTATTCATGCCACAGTGAGAACATCATTCATATATGGCAGCACATCTGGAACTGGTGGCAAGGTCAGATTGAAGTCATGGAACATTCCAGGGAGGCCAAACATTCTAAATAGAAGCAGCTTAACTCAGAACGTTCTTCAGTAAGTGATGATTATTTTGGCTTCTGCAGTAGCCTCATTGATAGTCTGCCATTAAGAAGCTTTCAAAAGCAAATTTTTCAAAAACTTGACCTTCTGAAAGGAGGGTAAGAATTTCATTAACTGCAAGCATTAGACCATGAGAATGTTATGCATTAAATTCAGTATTTCTCAGAAAGTCTCACATCATCATTATTCTTTGGTTCTAGCATGACTTTGTCCTATAAAGTAGCCATTAGCCACATGTGACTATCGAGCACTTGAAATGTATGTAACTAGTGAGACTGAGGAACTGAATTTTTAGTTTTTTAAAAATTTTATTCCATTCGATTAAAAAATTGAATATAATATATATCATTAATATTTTTATATTGATCATATGTTAAAATGGTAGTATTTTGAATACATTGGGTTAAATAATATGTATTACTATTAATAATTGTACCTGTTACTTTACACTTTTTTGTTAATGTGACCACCACAAAATTTAAAATTACATATGTGGCTTGTATTATATTTCTATTAGTCCGGTTCTGCCTTGTACTTGTTGGAGACTCAAAAATGTCTAATTTACTTAGACACATAATCTGTCTTCCTTTTTCCATCTCTAGAGTGATGGTATAGAACTGTTTTCAGTAATTGATTTAATAGCTGGTTGCAGGAGAAATGACTCTGATTATTCCATCTAATCATCCTATTCTGAGAATATCTCACTTTTTCTGAGAACAAATTCACTATTATCAAATAGGCAAGGTCAGCTAATGCTCTGTTATTTCTTATTCCCTTAGCCCCTTTTAATTCTCAAGGCTAACCCATGCAACAGTCATAGGCATGGCGTTAAAAAATATTTTTGTTCATAGTTTTGATTCAATAATACATCCAGGATATCTTAATTATATCTGCGCTAGTCCAGTTAGTATATTGCTTCCTCCGGATTTCTGATATTCTTGACCTTAAACTTCTTGTCTCATCTCACATGCACTTGTTGATCTTGATCTAAATTACTTCCCATGTCTTTTCTCAGAATTCTGCTTTCTAAGTAATATCCTCTCAATTCCACATCTTGATTGTTGGAACCCAGAGTGGTGCAAAGCTGGATGCAAAGGTGTTGTTGACATTATTCTACACTATTGTTGGTGCTCAATACAGCTCCATAGGAAGACATGGCATCTGGCCTTATGTGACCCACAGCCTAGTTGGGGAAACACAAAGTAAACATGTGTGTTTTTTTTCCAGGATGCTAGAACCTGCCTTTCCTGTAAGCTCGGAGAGGAGAAGTAGCTGGGCATTTTTTTCTCCCTGGGAATAGCCCTTGGCTAATAACTGAAACATGAAGGAATAGAAATATTCCATCCCCTAATCAGGACACCTGTAAGCTGAGAACAACATGGAATGCAAACTGCCCCTGGATTATTGAGCCTAAGGTACATTCCGCTGGGCTATGCTTGCTATCAGAGCCTTCCTTGGTCTCCTTCCTCTTCAGGTCCAAACTCCTTCCTCCTTTACTTCTGTCCTAGGAATACTTCAAGCAAGTCGCTTTCCCCCAAAATCCTCATCTCAGTATGGTGCTTCTGGGGAATCCAACCCTATGTCAATAATTTTAGGTGCTGAAATTGGTCTAGGAAGCCAACTCTTAGGATGAGACTCAGAATTAAATCACTCAATGCCCAGATGGCAACAGAGAAGCTGTTGTTTGTGGTGAGTGAAGGGGTGATATCCTCTGGCCTGCTGTAGCATTAAGTTGTTGATATTTTTACCTGTGGCGAGTTGGGATGGAATACAAGTGAAAAGGGATGCACTGGACTGCACAGCAGCTATGAAATTTCATACTTTTGTAATTTGATAGTAGTTATAAGAAGGATGGGGTTGTTTACTGGCTGCTAATTGATGTACTGCAGAAAGAAAACACTATGCTTTGGTTAGCCAATTGCCAGTTCATGGGGAAGAAGGAGATCAAGAATTCTGTTTCACAGATATTTAGTTTGTGTCTGAGGGTGATTTTAAGGAGAGTTCATCTATCTGCAGATGGGGTCAAAGGCGGAAAAATAAATTTTCAAATCATCCCTCTTTACATGGTATTTAAGACAATTTTTATTAATCAGAGTTATTATTAGCAAACAACACTAAAAGGGATCATCTCAATAAGAAAAGAATATTGAATGGATGTTGGGTCATTCAAAGAATTGCCAGGATAGCTCAGGGAATTGTCAGGAACAAAGAAGGCTGGTAAAAGCCAGAATTGCACAGATCATGATAATGGCACAGATTCTCTCCAAAGAGGACACTGCTACTGCCAGCATGACACAACAGAGTATCTCAGCTTATACAATCTCTACTTCTAGCTCTGATTCCTGGATGCCGCCATAGATAGGCATCTCAGCTACTGGTGCCCTGGATGATGAGTGTAGCTGAAGCTGACATTAGAAAGAATTCCCTGTGGCCTGATTGTTCTATCTCACAAGTTCCAAATTTGAAGATTGGTGGATTTTTGTGATTAGACAAGCCAAGGCCATGCTGCCTTGTGTCCCACACAAGTCACCAGTGCAGCGTGTCCTCTTTGAAACTTAGGATAACGTTTTTGAGCTTCAGCCAAATTGTTGCACATATCGTGCAAATTCATTATTTTCTATTGCTGAGTAGTATTCCATTGTGTAGGGACACAACAGTTTGTTTATATCCTAATATATCCTTGCCTTCATTGAGTTCTCAAAGTTTTTATTTTTTCATAGTTCTCTTTTGGAAGCTTAACAGCTTTAGCTTTAACATTTAGGTTTATGATCCAGTCTGAGAAAATTTTCTATATATTTAATAGTATGAAATATTGAAGGTTTTTTTCCACATAGATATCCAGTTGCTTCACTACTATTTGTTGAAAAAACTACCTTTTCCCATTGTATTTCTGTAGCACATTTATTGAAAGCCTCACACTGTGCCCCACAAATATGTACAATTATTATGTGTCAGTTAAGAATAAAATTAAAATAAAAAATAAAATAAAACGACCATATATGTGCATATGTACTTCTAAAGTTTCTATTCTGTTCCATTGAGTTATACGTTGATACAATTGAAGTTATCACCTTATTGATTACTGCGGCTTTGTGGTAAGTCTTAAATTACATTAGTACACTACCTCCAACTTTGTCCTTTCAAAAGATTATCTTGTCTATTCTGGTCATTTGAATTTCAAAATAAATATTTGAATCAGCCTGTTAGTTAGAAAGAAAAAACCCTGCTGAAATTATGATCAGAATGATCAATACATCAACTTGGGAAAATTGACTTTTTAATACTGTGTTTTAATGAATATAATACATCTCTTCATTTAATTTTTCATAATTCCTCTCAGCAATGTTTTGTAATTTTTACAATAGAAGTCATGCATTATTTATATTCTGTACTGAATATTTTATGCTATTGAAATGGTATTTTTAAACATTTCAATATGCCATTGTTAGTTGCTAATCTATATAATTAAAATTAATTTTTAAAATATTATTCTTCTATCCTATGTCCTTACATTATTTTAAATCTATAGGATATTCTGATTAGATATTTTGTAGCTTCTTTAATTTTTTAATACCTACTATCATACTGTCTTCCAGTAAAGAAAGTTTTATTTTATTACCAATTTGCTATGAGCATTTATGATGAATAGCTACTGAATGTTGTCAAATAGTTTTTTCTCCATTTAGTGAGATAGCATATTATTTCTTTCTTTCCTCTGTTAATATCACAAATTACCTTGATTTGCTATTCAACTATTAACCAAACTTGAAATCTTGTGATAAACCCAAATTGGTCACGTGGCATTAAATTTTTGTTTTGCTGGATTTTGCTTGCTAATCTTTGGTAAAGTTTTTTGGGTTTATATCTATAACGTATGTTGGTAGTTTTCTTGTAATCTCTCTTTCTGTTTTTGGTATTTCACCAAAGCCAGTCTCATAAAATGAGTTGGAAATTATTCCCCCCTCTAATTCTAATTAATGAGTTCACGTAAAACTATTGTTTTCTTTCTTCAATGTTTAATAGAATTAAGCAGTGAAAGACATTCTTCCTGCCCCATGCTTCTCTTTTTTCACTAATATTCAATAATATGATTAAAATATGGCTTCTGTGGTTTTCTTTGTCTTTATTCT